GTAATATATCCCACTCATAAACCCCTTAATTACGCCCCTGATGAGTTAAACAAATGTCAATTGGTGATGAAGAAGCAGTGATTTTAACTCTAGCTCTCTTGGCAGAAAAATTAGAAAAACCGGATACTTCAATATTTAGTCATAAATCGTTATAATATTTATATTAAAAAAGTAGCATATAACTTAGAAATAATTTATATACATTAATAGCAAGAGGGAGGGTATATAGTTCAACAGCATAGATAACAACATTTTAGAAAAATATGGCATACCTTTACATTTATGATTCCGTCATATAAGTATATAACCCAGGTATATTGACTATTTCTTCCTTATAAATTATAATATTGGCTTTTGGTAACCTAAAGTTGATAKGCGATGTGCACTATCCTGCAGAATCCTACTAAATCGCAATAGCTTATTGCGTTAAAAACACCGCGGAATATGTCGAAGCACTTTTGTTTAACTATTAGAATCGATTCCGATTTAATCTGACGCGTTGTTTTCGATCCGATTTGCATTATATGATCCAGTGTGCGGCAATCTTAAATCGTAATATTACTATCATAAATAGTTTAACGATCAAGTTGATTTTGCATTACACATTTACACCCATCATTATCATTATCGTTTTGTTTCACGCAGCTTACTTGATGCGTGGAGATTTTAACGTATTTATGGTAGACTGGAGTCCGTTGACCGTATACCCCTGTTACCTGTCATCGTTGAGAAATACGCGTTTAGTGAGTCAGTGCACCGCTCAACTTTACGCCCATCTCACTTATTCGGGCGCTTCCGCTCACAGAATACACTGCGTCGGCCACAGTCTCGGGGCCCACATATGTGGCATGATTAGCAATCACTTAACAGAAAGACAGCACAAGATCATCGGTGAGTACGATAATAATATTAAACATGATTAAAATGTTGGATTGAGTCGGATTTAGGCAGCTTCAGATTTATACCTTATTGTATATTGTGTATATTCAGTAAAGCGTACAAGTTGACTGGTGATAAAAGGGTCATTGACGATAACTAGAAAATCAATCTCAAATTAATTAATTTCACATCAGTCTGACTACCTACTTATTTAATGTCTATATAGCAGTGCATATAGGGTAATATTTATTATAGCGTAAATTACTATAAGCTATAATAATAATACACATAATGATCATAAATAATTATAATGGTATTAGTCATTGGAAACTATATGACAGGTGCATTTCTACTGACCCCATAATAAATACGCGTCAACTGGAAAATAACGACCGACGGAAGTAGATATTACAAGTGAGTGATAGGCATAACCATCATAATTAACATCCTACAATTTACTCACTCATAAATRTTTCATATAATAGATACTATACATATTAATTATTATAGTTTTGAAAAGGGAGTAGGAATTTAAGTATACCACTTTTGTTTTCATTGAGTACTCCTTTAATTCGTTTACATTTGAATAAAACAAAAAATTGTTGCAATTTATCCACGAGATGTAAAATTTTGTAGAAGATTCATTTCGATTTTCTTGAAAAATGGTTTTGCATATAAATTAGGGTACTGATTTAATTGAAGCCCGATATATATATAACACCATTATACGTTTGAATTTCGTTTACTTTTGCTTATGTCTTATGTGCGTTATTAAACTTATTTATAGGTGAATAATACTGATAGAATCTATATTTTATTATATTGTTTATGGTATACCATAAACAATGGTTACCGGTATTTTGCCATGTCGTTTCGATAAATAATAACTGAGTGCTGTGGCATGCAACTTTAGTGGCGGGAAATACTTTCTTGTCAAGGGGAAATTAGCCCAGTACCGAATTTTTTTTTTAAATATTGTGATTTTTTTACCCTAAAGTACTAACTAGATCCAATTTTCTACCATAAACCCTCTTCAAAGAGGTGATATTGACAGGTACGAAAAAAATCATGTCATATACCTATCATMCACATATGACTTATACATAATTATAATACTAAATTGGTATTAGTATAAATGTAAGAACCACATTTTAATACAGTAGATCCTGATAACCCAAGCATCGATTTCTGAGAAGATTTTCTGGAAAATCATTGTTTTCAAAGGTTAGACTGGTTTATAGGGGGTAAGTCGATTACTGCGTGTAAGCAACTACGCAACACAAATTACACGGTTGTGTGTGTGGTGTAGTATGTTAAAGAAAAATGTATTTATTTTATTATTTTTTCAACTATTATATGTGTGTTCTAATGTAACAGGTTTAGATCCGGCCAAACCTCTGATAGACTTGTTTACGATGGACGAATTTCGATTGACGAGGGATGATGCTGATTTCGTAGAAGTTATACACACAAACTCAGGAGTTTATGGAGAGTATCCTCAAATAGGACATGTCGACTTTTGCATCAATGGTGGCCGCATGCAACCAATTTGCACTAGTCAAGCAAATATCATACGTAATATATATAATATTTTATACAGTTAACAAAAAYATATATCACGCAAATAATCAAGGAAAAAACGTTTTTAAAAGAAAWAATTAATAAATAGTCTAGTTAAAGAACTTAACKCATTCATTGTGTTAATAAAAAATATGCAAAATCACTGCCTGTCAGGTCTGTAGAATGTTATTTAAAAATTCAATTTTAAAGATACGCATTACCAAAAACAAAACTTATAAACTATACGTGTAACCTATTACGTGTTACGTCTAAATACTTTCATTTTTAGCTTATCAGATATCAAAATACATTTTATATTGTAGTATTTTTAGATTTAGATAAATGCATTTATTTTGTGCTCATGTGTACACCGTTGTCTTAATACTCCATAAAAAAAAGATGGTCTTAAGTGCTCTTAACTAGTTAAAAATGTATTTATTTTTTTTAAATTCTTAAATTAACTAGTTATCTAATTTCACAATCAACTTAATAATACATTGATATACTTGTCTAAGTTAGTTGTTGAATACCTTGTATAGCAACATTATTTTTAATTAATTTGAAGAATAATATATATCATAATCGTGTTTGTTCTATATAAAACTATAGGTATAAAACGAATAAATTATTTCTTTGTTCAATCAATGAGTATAGTAGTCGGCGCTTTATTAAGGCACATTGACTGCTTATTATTTTGTCCCAAATTCCGAAAAAAAAGAAACATAACTACGATAGGTTAGTAGTTAGTAAATGMATTTATTAAAAATATAGATTATTTTTGATATATAATAAATTTGTAATAGGTGAGGTAATTTCGAATACAAAAAGAAATACACATACTTATTTAAATTTATTTATAATAAGAGTTAAGAAAGTTCACTCTGCAAGCGTGCTGGATTCCCGGTTTCTAAATGTATTTTAACACAATAATTAATTATACCCTATTATTAAAATCTAAAAAAGAATATATTTATCAATAGTATCCATAATTTGGTTACTAGTATGTACTGATAATTAATGGACGGACACAATAGAAGATATTAGGTATTCTTATAAATTTATGTTTAGAAACCCTAAATAGTTATTATATTAATTTAATTTTTAGAAACTAGAAAATGATAAGTAGAATTTATTTATTACTTTTCACTGATTGTTGACGAATGTAATCAGAGATGAGAGACGTTCAAATCAATTATGGAGATATAAGTATAGACAAATGCATCCCAATTATTCGGTTTCATGACCCAGATATGCGTTGAACACATTGTACACTATATTCACGAGTTAGTTTTGTAATTGAAGAATTTTCCCGATTAAGCGGTCGTCCTATAACTAACCGGTATTCCATCAATCGGAATCTACTGTATAATAATTTTTAAATACAAATAAATATTTCTTGATTCAATAATTATTTTGTTGATACAAAAATGTGATTGCYTAAACAGTTACTGTTTTATAGTGAGCAACAAAAACGTCCGAAGTGGGGACTAGGTAGTGCAATGCACCAATTTATAATTTCAATCATTTTAATTTTTCAAATAAATAATGAAATATAAAAACTTCTTGTTAATTAATTTATAATTTATGATTTATGCCTAYATAGTAAATATTAAATACCTATTTTGAGAAATCGTCGTCTGTCGCACTTAAGTACTGTGTAATGACAGGTACAATTATTAAAGAACAGTAATTAATCTGTAATCTATTATATTTGTAGTTAGTGAGTATTATGTAGATTTAAMACAACTTTTATTCTGATCTATAGACTAATCTAGATTCACTTTTATTATGTACAAAATATAAATTGTTCATTGTATTTTTATATACTTTTATTCATATTTTAATTGCAATGTAAAACAATTACATTTAATGATGAAAATTGCAATTAGGTAAAATTTTAAAATTGTTTAATGATGAACTAGTAAAAMAGTTTTAAGATTCGAGCCTGTTTTGGTGTTTTTTAGAACCGACGCTGCAGTAATCCATTCGGCCACTCTATCCTCCATTCTTTRAACTAACTCGGTYCACTTAATTGTTTTATTAATTTGCTTAACATTTGCATAGCAGATTTAGTGTTTACACATAATTGACTCAGAATGATTCGTTTACGTTTCGATTAACGACGTGTTATGTGAAAGGACAACGGAAATGTTATATTATAGATTCAGACGCGATAGTGGAATAAACAAATTATTATATTAAACGTATTAACAAAAAAAAAGTTTAAAAAACATTCCATAAACATTATGCATCATACCTACCTCTTTATCATTATTATTTTAAGCGTAGGGAGATCATTATTTTATAGATTATTCTTTTTTTCTCCATAAAAATGCTACAGGTGTTTAATGAGCAGCAGCTGCTCCGATTGAGCTATAATATTATATATACGGATGATAGTTATTTCTGAGATAAGCTTTTAATATGATATGTGTAAAACAGTGAAATAATATCAGAATTCTTGTTAAAGAGGTTATACGCGTTATGATAACATATATTATTTTGTAGATCATCAAAACACACCTAATTATGTGAGATTAGGAATCGTATGTTTCAAGCACGGTAAAACTGAGTAAATCTTAAGACACGCGTGGTAGTTTTCCCGCGGCTCGTGAAGYATTTATTTATTTTTGTTTCCGTTGAGTAACCCGGTATACGATAATCATCTAATAATATTTGAATTTGTTTACCTATACATAATATAGGTACCTACGATATCAACTATTATATGGCGAAAGTGGTTAAGCGACASTAGTTTCACTATTTTTTTAGGATTTCATAACTCACTATTAAAAAAAAACCCTGAAGGAAATGGAACAGCACATTTTTCTATTGTGTCATTAAAATTAAAAATTGTTAAATGTTAAACATCAATAGTAGTCTTTGATATTAATCAGTTAGTCACCTCAACTTTTAGAATAACTATTTTTGGTATTTCTRTTAATAAACTAGCTTGTTCAGGACAATATAAATTAAATATCTCATTCGAGAAACGCTAACAYTTGTCTTATTGTGCGTACCAAAGCATAAATTGCCCCTAAACGTTGCTTTGCCCTTTTTGATTCTATCATTACATTGTGGAAGACCATATGGTCTTATACAAAATTCCGTCAAATAAGAACGTTTAAAAATAATAGCATAATTCTAAAAATTAAACTTTTGAAGTTATATACCATGTGTCCCAAAAAACAGGGGCCACTTTACCACTMATTRYYATGAAAATATTTTTCAATTCTGTTTGCGGGACATTAAACTAGACTAATGGATCATAAATTTCTATGACTTACAATTTTTTTAACTCATGTATCTTGCGCATGCGCAATAAAACTTACATTTTT